TGTGCTGAATTTATCCGCCATGCTCCAGCGTCCAGAAAAAAATAGAAATCTTGCAATCAGCTGAGGAGTCCGGCGATCTGCAGCAGAAAATTAGCCATCTTTACCAGATACATGAATATAAATACATGCATGTTTTTATTTGAAATGACAGATTATAGGTCAAATGATTGTGCTAATTAGTCAATCTCTTTTAAAGAATGCCAGTAATAATAATAATAATGCATCAGATTTCATATAGCGCTTTATCAGAGACCCTCAAAGCACTTTACAATGGATACATCATTCATTCGCTCACACAGTCACACTTTGGTGGTGGTAAACTACCTTAGTAGTCACAGCTGTCCTGGGGCAGACTGACGGAAACGTGGCTGCCATTCTGCGCCTACGGCCTCTCCAACCACCACCACACAACACTCACAATCATACACCAGTGGAGGACACACACTGGGAGCAAGGTGGGTTAAGTGTCTTGCCCAAGGACACAACGGACAGACTTGGATTAGGGGGGAATCGAACCGCCAACCTTCCGGTTATTGGACGACCGCTCCACCTCCTGAGCTACTGCCGCCCACAGTAATTGCAGGTCCCTGAGTGTCCACTAGAGGCTGTTCTTAAAAATGGGCCAATCCCCATAGAACCCAAAGTTAAATGTTGAACTCGACAGGACTGGAAGTGAACATGTTTATGAATGAATGTTGTTTAAATGATGAATATTAAAAAAACCCAAGAACTTTAATCTGCTGCAGCTTTGGTTGTTTAACTCTAACAGCATAAATAAAACAGCAGAAGTGTTTATTTATTTCCTTTATGTGCTTCGTGAATATTGTTTTTTGGTCTGTATATTAATTGAGAGCCTGTATTGTTGCATTAAATTAAATTGAAACCTGAAAAACTAGGACTATCTTATGTGTCCTCCACAGGGAGACAGGTGTTGAGATTCCTTTCACGTGTCTCTCGGTCTGTTGACGACGTTCCCTCCAACTCAACAAGAAGAGGCCCTCCAAAGTTTCAGTCGTGATAAGAAATCTCTCCGTTTAATATCCAACAATTAAAGGGGAAGTTCGTTTAACAGTACGGAAATGTAAAAATTTGTCTCTGTGGTGGAGGGAAACAAAAGTGCCGTCCTCGGAGGCTTCGTATCACAAACCATCTGGACGGGAGTTTGGCTGTTGAGAGCGATTCCCTGCAGACACTTCATATGAAACTTTAATTAACGGGGAGAGAGTGTGATCACGGCGCGGCGAATCAGAGGCCTCAGTGTCTGAACGGGCTGCCTGACAACAACAACCTTCCTGCTCGGGGAAACCTTACAGTGGAGGCAGAGGAAGAAGAAGAAGAAGAAGGAGAGGAACTAATTAAATCTGGGTCTCATCTCGCTGTTTTCACTCAGTGCGTCCCCGACAGCAGCGTGGAGGACAGAGGAAGGGGAGACAGAGCGGAGAATTAAACATCAGTGCCGTCACTTTGGTCCACGATGCCTTCATGGGCAAGAGGAAACACCGTCCAGTCCATGTTTTACACGAAATGTTACAAACAGGAGGAAAGGTGACAGGAGCAGAGCGGAAACTCGTCCTGAGGGTGGAGGGACCTGTGGATTTGAACCAATGACACTGTGTGATGGCATATATACTCAGAAAAGATGAATATTTCAACTACTTCATAAAATACTGCTCCACTTCAGATCATTACAAATGGGTGAAAGTCAAAAGCATTGGTGCTACTGTAGATGCCAACAGACTACCAGCAAACACAATGTTTGCAGGACTTCTACAACTAGGATAAAGTGACATAGTCCAGGACCCAAGGTCAACAGTTTAGCGATGGCGCTACAACACGCTACAGCAGGTCCGTTTGACAAGAAACACTTCTGTTACAGACACTTGTCTTACTTTGTTAAAGCGGTTTACCTGTCCAGCAGAAAGGTTACAGGGTCACCAAGATCCCCAAGCGTCCCCCATGGTTTATGTTGACCCGGCTTTTTAGCTCTTGTCCGGTCTACCTCCGTTTTAAGCGCCCGTTATTCCTCCAGAGTCTCCGGTATTTACTTTGTTTTCTTGCTTGTGTCGGCAGTCGTGGCCAAAGGAGGATTCAGACGATTTTCCGAACTTTCTGGTTGGTTTCTACTGTCCGATATTGTAGCACGCTAACTTTGTTTGGGCTCCTGAACGACACGGGGGAGCAGCGTCTGCCTCACAACCAATCAGGTTAGAGGAGGTGGAGAACGGCTTTGTTTACAGTCAGAAAGAGCGGACCGCTCAAAAATGTTCAAATGTTGACGACACAGACAGAAGAGAACACAGAGATATCGATATATTACCAAATGTCATCAATAACTAATAACTATTGACTGATATTAGAAGATTTTTTGTAAATACACCACAAAAAAAAGATGCTTCTTTAACAGATTCCTGCCTCAACTTCAATCTGGCTGTTAGCTAACAAATTCATGAAACTGATCTCTGTAGAGATGACGGTATCATTGGGGTACATTTAGCAGCCAACAGTAGGACAACTCTCAGGTAGGTCGTTAACTTACAAAGTAAATAGAAGTGGACCCAGAACTGAGCCCTGGGGGATTCCCATGCTGTCGGCAGGTAGGATCTAAACTAAACTCCTGCAGAGCCTGATCTGAGGTGTAACTTAAGAAGTTCAGAGAGGAGCTCTTTGTGTCTCAAGGCTTTTTATCAGAAACCCCCCCAGACCCTGTTTTGTTTGCAGTCTCACTTGATCCAAATCCAACTGCTGCTGGTGCAGTTAGGGGGCGTCTTGGTCTGCACCATGACGGCTTACTTCAGCACTGAGATCACCAACCTGCGCCCTGAATATCAGGTTCGATTATCATAGTTATCGATGGAGTCTGGCTCAGTGCAGGAATCACTGCAGTAATGAGCTGGTTTTCCTCTTCGAACTCTCCGTATGAAATCCTACTGTGAGCTCAAACTGATTTAAATGATGAAGGAAAGTGCGAAAAGACACCCAAGCTTACGAAACTTAACTCGAAGACATAAAACGTTGTCTGAAGACGATGCAAAAGTCAACCAGACTTGAATGCGGCACAAAAAGGCAGACACAGATTGTAGATCCGTCTATTGAAGTCTTTTCTATTTCAGACTCCGAGAAGAAAAAGGTGATTTAATACTTTTTTCTCAGGACCAACAGGAGCAACAACTGAAGGTGTGAATGGAAGTGAAGTGAGCTGTTCTGCTGGTGAAGGTTTTTCTTTCTGCCACTCTGCTGAGCATTTTTTACTCTATTCATCGGTGAGCAGAGACCAGGAGAGGAACAGTGATCGCTACACAGTCAAGGTCTGCTGCCTCTGTCGCCGAGTGGAAGGCTTTAAATCGGCCTCTTTGTGCAGCTCCAAGTCCTTCACATCAGATCGACTGCTGTTCAGAGAGAGGAGGGGGTCAAGGCCGACCGCTGCTGCATGACTTCTGTTCACTTTTATACAGCGGAGAAAAAGAATAAAAGCTCCACCTGGACTCGCAGTTTGTCGGGTTGAATCCTAAAGAATAATGAGACGATTCAGAAGAAACACCAGCTCCGTCTTTGTGGTTCACATCGCTTCGTTTGCCAAAGTTCCCCCCTAAAATAACGGAAGGGGTGCAATCGGAAAGTTATACTTACTTTGAACGTACTGGTCCTTTCACAAAAATCAGTTTATGTAAATACATTTGTTACACAAAACAAAAAAATGTGGGTTCTTTTCTGTAACCTTGGCGTGTGGGCTGACTTATGCCAGTTATGGGTTCTGTCTAAGCTCTGAGTTGGAACTTCATCTAGAACACCCCCGTCATCTGATGTACGACTCGGAAAGTCAGACGATCCTCGCCAACCCCGACTTGATGACAACATCATAGTCCAAGATGGCAGTGCAGTGCATCAACAGTAAAGAGTAACAGTGAAAGCTCTCGTAATGTTTTATTTATTCGCTCTTCTGTTTTGTTTTTGTTAAATTAAATAAGTGGTTTATGTCGTACCGCCCAACGTCTAACTGTGAACACGGTGATATGATGTGTGCATGAGTAAAATACTGTGGTATGTGTTGTTTACAAGTGGTAAAGCTAACAACAACAAACTACGACTGACAACGGTGAACAACAGCTGATAATTGTTTACAACAGCTAACAACGGCTAACAGTAGGCGTCCATCTTGGTTTTCCAACTTGTTAACTGGAACTCCGTCAACTCGGTGTAATGTCATTCCAAACTCCGACATCCGACTTCTGAGCTAACTGGAACGCAGCATTAGCATCAGGTTTTTAGGTTGACAGTCCATTAGCTGTAGGTCACTGTGGTACGGTGGCTGTCTGAATTGGGTCAACCGCAATCTCCCGCTGCGCTACCATCACTTTTCCACAAACAAACTCTCACGGAAGTTGATTTGGGTTTTTCTGAATGGGCCAAGCTGAAATCCAACGCAGAGTCAGACGTCGTTCTTTCTGTACGAACAACAGGATGAGGACAGTGAACGCTGTCAAACGCAGAGGCGAGTATGAGAACTAAGAACTGTAAATGAAAGACATGTGACGTCTTGGCTAATGTTTGAAACGACTCCCCTAAACTACGTCGAAGAGGTTAAGGTAGCGTAACTGTAACTACTAACGAGGAAGTTGTGTAATGTTACCGTGACGTCTATTTGCTGGCCCTGCAATTGTTATAGTATCGCCGTAACTTCTGAATCCTCCTTTAGGGGGCGTCTGTTGTTCTGAGGATGACATTCGAGGAGCCTTTGCTTTTGAGAGTTGATCACCTTTGTTGTGGGAACTTTTGCCACAGCAGTGTCCGATACATGTTTCTCATATTCCAGCGTCTCCATTAAACTGCAGGGGGGGGGTTTTGACCACCTGTGATGATAACCCAGCCCTTATTTTCCACTTCAGAGCTCAAACCAAAAGTTGAAAACCAAAGCCGTGTTTGAAATTTAGAGGCTGAACTGTGTCTTTAATCTCTGCCTCGTTTCTTACGCTCTCCTTCATAAAATCCCCAAAATAAGAGCAGCTGCACTGAGGAAGAGGAGAAGAAGAACGACTGGATGAAGCCTGCTGTAATATCTGTGCTGGGAGCCCGAGGCAACAAAAACAAAAGACAAACACGATGTGTGGAAGTGACGGCTGCGTCTCGACAGCCTGCGTCACCGCAGTCAAACAGGAAGAATCCAGTAAGGTAAATTACAGTGATGTGTGTTTGAGGGCTGTAATTATCTGGGCTCTGATCCCCGCTGCTTTGATGAACTCGTGAACATGAAACAGTGGCGCTCTGTGAAGCCTCCAGCTCGACTCCGATCAGCTGATACGCAGACGACAGTGACGTGTTCTTTGATCTCAGAGACCAAACTCTCACTTTATCTCCGATACAAATCACACGAGCTTGGTTTTAACGCTTTCACTGAGTTACATCATCAGATCTGCAGAAGAAGAAGAGACGCCTCTGCTCTCTTATTTAAGCTGTGTGAGGAGACAGCAACCTCATCTTAATCAGACCGTCTTTACACTGTAAAAAAAATCCTCCCAACAACTCCGTTTACAGCAACCTACTGCAAAAAACTCTCTCTGAGCTCTCTCGGGGAGAAACAAGAGGTCCAGTGTTGGGTCTAAAACCTGCAACAAACGACTCAAACACAAAGAAGAGAAAGACAATGGTATTAGATTTCTTACTTGTGAGGAGAATGGACAGAGATACTTTCAGTTACAATCTCCAACTGCTCTAAAGCATCTCTGTCCTTTCCTCTCTTTTTATTATCCTTAGGGTGGTCCCTAGTTACATAATGCTACATACACTGAAGGGTGGGGAATCAATCTGCAGCAGCGTATTCACTTTCATAACACATAATTATTAACAAGCAGACAATCTGTGAGGGTCAAGATGACCTTGTTGACATTTCACAATCTCCTTCTTATGGTAGGAACGGTTCCTCCTTTACTACTGCTCCCACGTCTCACAGCGGAGGTTTCAAAATACAGACCTGCTAATTGGAGAAACAAGGTCAGAGAAGTTAGAAAACACTCATGCGTACTTTCTCATGTGCTGTGTAACAAGAGGTCAAAGCAGTTCATGGTTGTAGGAAACTTTTCCATTTGGAATTTGAGTAAGACTATTGATAATTTCTATATACATTTATACACATTATTCTGACATCCAGAAAGCCAAAGGAATCGTGGACCAGTCTGGACACATCCTTTACTCAGAGTTTTCTCTTATGCCCTCTGGGAGGCGCTACTATGCCCCCCCAAGAGGAACCAATAGTAGTGGACTGGTGGCACGTGTTGGATTTTGGGGTGCTGAAATTGGGGTTTCAGGATTCTTATTTTACTCTTTTTATCGCATTATTTTTTTAAAATTGCATTTTAGTCATTTGAATGTATTGCACATGTATTTATTATCTAGTTATCTATTTATTGCTGATTTATGGTGCTGACAGGGGAATGTTTGGGCCAAATGCTGCTGCTGTGAATGTCTGGTTTTTGTCCCTTCCTTGACCGTTTAACAACAAGGCGGGTTACTGTGAAGTGAATTGACCTTCGGGGATTAATGAAGTTATCTGAATCTGAAAACAACAAAAACAACAACATCTCAACTGTAAAACAGCAGAGTTAAAGTCAGTGACCTGCAAACATTCAACACTGAAAACTGGGTTTTAAAGAGTCCGTCTTTTGTGCTGAAAAAAAGTTTAATGTATAAGCTACACAGCAAAAAATGCCTACCATTACAACCAAATTTGGACTTGTTAAGCCACTTGGTTTATCAAGAGATTTGTTCACACATGAACTAAACTCCTAAAAACAGCTTCAGCGGGTCTTAAGGGACATAATGGCATATGATAAAAAAATTAACTTCATGTCAGACCTTTACGACACTGTTAGCCAAAGTTATTATAAACAAACTGGCATGAGTGATGTGCAACTCCAGTTCAAGAAAGATCAGACGAAATCTGAAATGATGACAAATTCAAATTTTGATTGTGCGCAGATCATTTAAAGTCGATATAAAATGGACAACATCTCCTCATCATCGTGTGTCCTCAGCTCTTCTTTCTCCAACCCTCTGTAGACCTTAGTGAACCCAGCAGACCAGGTTCTGGAGTCTGACAGTCAAATGTTGTCCCTGATAGAGGATTTCAGCTGCTCAACAGTTCAGGTTCTCCTTGGTCCAGTTGTCCTTTTCCATGCGGTGATTTCCACTCCTGAGTCCCGGAGTGGAAATGAAGGTCTTCCCTGAAAAAGTCGTTTCTCCTAAACCTGTAGATATTGTTCAGCATTAATGGAGCCTTTACAGATGACATGGACTCTGGTGATCCCCAGACAATCAGGGATGCTGGATTTGGACTGAGGTGGATCCTTCACTCGTTCTCAGACATAAATGATCCCTGTGATGATGATTTTTTAAGGTCAGCCGTTCAGACAATCCGGCGTTCCCTCGGAAAAGCAGCTTTTTTTCAGTCTAATTCTTCTTTGTGTTCCTTCAGAAAATATAAATAAATGCAAATTTAAGACGTCTCTGAATACTTCAGAGCAGTTTCAGGCTTCACGTCTTTACAACAAGCGGAGCAGATGCTGATTTTTTCCAGTCATCTTTTCCCAAGAACACGTTTGCTGTCTGCACATTTCCCATCGTTATTTTGAATAAATTGAGAGGCGGTTGCGTCAGACCAACGATTATTCATGAAAAGCAAAACTGGATGAGAGAGAAACACAGTAACAAGTGAAGTTATTTAAAACTGTGAAGATAACAGCCACAGAAATGAGACGTGTTAATCCCCGCACTGTAGCCGAAACATAAACACATCACAAGGCCTTAAACGTGATGAAAACGGCGAAGAGCGGCTACCTGCGCACAAACAAACCCGAGTGAAGAGTCTGACAGTGACATGATTACACAGCTGCAGATTTCACATCAGAAAACCAGAGGCTGGGGGGTTTTAAAGCTTAACTGAAAAGCTTCAGGACGAACGGCGGATTATTGATCTGGATGACAACGCAAACTGTCCCGATAGAAAAACAACCGGGAAGAAAAGACTCGTGAATTTGGATTTTCTTCAGCATAGAGAAGGGATGCAGAGGGAAACTTCTAACCGAGCCTGATCAACAGAAGAGAAACTGAAGCCGTGAAATAATCAGTTTTAAAAGGGTGTATTTTCTGCTCCTCCTGGCACTTACAGAAGCACTTCAGTTTGAGTAAAGTTTGAAGACTGGAATCAAACATTTCAGCGCTGTGTCCTCCTGTTATCCTCCCACTCAGCCCGCTCACAGGGTGACACTCTCATCGCCTCCAAATGTCAGACAGATCTCTGCCGGCTGCAGTTTTAAGTGTGTTTCTTTTCTCTTTCTGCCGATTCTCACTCAGCGATCACCGCGCTGCACTTTGCTCCTCCATCACCTCCTCTCTGCCGTCATTTAAGACCTCTCTGCCCGTCACCGCCTGAACTCAACCACGGCCGCTTCTCCTGTCCGACAGAGAGAGAAAGAAAAATTACAGCTAAGAGAAAGAGTGGTCTCCAGTCTGCAGGTGCTGCTGTGAGTCATCGAGTGATCTCAGATGATCTGTCAGAGTATTAACGCCGCCGCCTTTACACACAGTCAGCCTTTCAGAGTGTGGCGACCATTCAGACATGTCGCTCAGCAGAGGAGCCACGTCTGAAAGCTAACCCTGATTTTTCCTCCATATGAAGAGAAAACTGTTTTTATTTTTGCAGCTGGAAGCAAAAGATGAACTTTTATGAGCTGAATAAGTTTGAAACATTCATCCCTCATTTCAAGTATTTGTCTTAAATTTGCATAAATGCTCATTCAAATGTATGAAAACAACAGCGGTGCACAAAATCCTTTTATGAGGCAGGACTGAACATTTCTTTTTACAACCAGTTGAGTCGCCCTCTGCTGGGCATTTAAAAGAATGCAGGTTATTGCACTCATGTACCTTACCCAGTCTATCACTTTCATTGATCGTGTTTTAAACTCAGTCAGCTCCAAAAGGTTCTTATTCAAAGTAAATGCACTTCAGCAGCATCCTCAGTCTAAAAAAGTTCCACTTCTGCAAATACAAATGTGACCTTTTAATCAACAGCCAATCAGAATCAAGAAGGGGAGGGACTTTCCATCAACTTTGAAGACAGAGAATGGAAAGGAGGAGCCAAAAAATGGACCTTAAGGGTTCATTGAGTGCCTCGCATACGCAGAGAAGTTTCAGACGTGAAGATCTGAATGAATCTTGTTAAAGGTTCCTATTACATCAAGTTTAAATTGGTCCCAGAGGTCCCACAATAGTACATTTGAGCTCCACTGAGAACAGTCTGATTCTGCGCCTGTACCTTCAAACAATAATGAGCTGTGTGTAATCGTGCTCCTCCTCCCCAAGGCCACTCTAAACTGCCGGCGCAGCCGCAGTGGTCTGCAGATCTTCTGAGGACCTCGAGACCACCGCAACTGGAAGCACCAGCCTGCCTCTGTGCCCCCGAGGAACACCCACTGCTCACGGGAATAAAATTAGAAAGAAGCGAGTCCAAAGACGACGACCAATGATGGTAAACACGCGCAATTGCAGCCAAAGCACTAGTCAACGGACGGCGGTAAAGCGACATAAACGGTTAAAACTTATGGCTTCCACGTTTAAAGTTAGGTCTCTGACACGGACAGTCGGTATGGATCCAGGTTTTATCCTTAACTTCTTAGCGAATCCGAAAGAGTTGTTGTAAAACAAAATTAATCCACTGGGTCCTCAATTCTCCCGATGAAGGAGGCAGAAATAGACTCCTGTCTTCGTTTGTGCAGCCAAGAACCACGCAGCGGCTGGGTCGTAGCTTCGGCATGGTTGTTGCTGTACCGGAGCGGCGTGTACTAGGGGAAAAAATGGTGGACGTTACCTCAGCGAAGAAGTTTTAGAGGGCTAGGCTAACACATATCGGGGGTGCTGCCACTAACATGTGGGAGGGGCTTATGCAGTTGTGTCGTCATATCTGCACAGCTTTTCCATCCGCTCGTTTGCGCTCATGTTTTCAGGAAGGAGGGGAGAGCAAGAGAGGGAGAGAATGAAATGTTTTCATGTCAGGAGGGGTTTCGTCTTCGAGGGGATGCATATTATTGGTAGAAAAACCACCAAGAAGTGGATTTTTCATAATAGGGGACCTTTAAGACACACAGGACTCTCTGGGTTTATATTTCTGGTTCTGTTCGGTGTGAAATTCTTCAGTCCTGGTCCAGAGTCTATTACTGTTCAGATAAATCTGTAACCCCCTCAGATACTCGATGAGTCCAGTACCGCTGACAGTACCAGAACAATTCTGCTCCAGCTGCTTGTACATCAGAATCCTCGCTCTGTTATCATTTGACTTTGTTGGATCTCAGCACTCCAACCTTCAGCTTGTATCTCTGTCAGAGGCCAAATCCCCGCTCCCTGTTCAGATCTGACCTTCCTCCTTCAGAATCAAAGGATTATGGGAAATGATCAGTGTTTCCAGCGCTCTCAACACACATCCGTGCGTGATAGGATCTGACGCCATCGCTCTTGTCAATCTGCAGGTAAAATAAAGCACAGATAAGCCGGCTGTGATAAGCTGCAGCTCCTTGAAGTGTTATATTCATTTCAGAGCTGACTGTGTTTGATCCTATCACCGCAGGCCCGTACCCTCAACCAGAACATTTCCATGCAGGCCGGCCCGTGTTTCTGCAATATATTCAGGGCGGCGAGCGGCCTCGCTTAGCACGATCACATCAGGTTAGAGATCCCACAGGAAGGCGAGGGGAAAGCCAATGAGGCGGCCCACTCAAAACCCAAAATGACATCAACAGAACCGCAGTGGGACACGGGCTGCCTTCAGATCATCTATTGCTGTTTAGGAGCCAGACTGAGGGGTTATCGTGGAAACTGAGCGTGCTCAGACATGAACGCTGGGAACGCGGGAACCATGACGCAGTTTCCTGATGCTCGAATGTTCTTACCGCCCAACGGAGACCAGCAGCCCGTCTTTCAGGTCCCGTCCAAACATCCTCAAAACGGTCTCGAACTCTTCCAGCTGTCGCCTCGTCAGTGTGGTGGATCCTCCTCCTCTGCAGAGGTGATCAGGTGATCGACACTTCTGAAGTTTATCAATCTGCTTTCAGGGAAATTCACGTCCACTCATCAGAACCGTACAGGACTGGATCGGATGATGCTCTCTGTTCTTGTGCTGCTTCACACAGTTGACAGCTAAATTCTCTTGGACAGGCGCTACAGTTTCACCAGCATCTCTGACGCTGTTTTTGAGCGGTTCAAGTCTGTCAGTGTGGATTCAGGCTTTTCAGATGACTTACAGTGTCCCCCAGGGGTCAATTCTCAGTCCTGCACTTTTGAACCTTTATGCCTCTTAGAAATGTCATCAGAGGATCAACTTCCATAGTTACGCAGATGACGCTCAGCTCTACATTGATGACACAGGTCCAGCCGATACACTTTAAAACAAAGTCATGGATGGCCGAGAACTTTTTACACAACTCAACTGGTACAATATCGGTTCTGGTTACTCGTACTAGAGATACTACCTACTACCTATGTCACAGGGGCATCTCTGTTCTGATTGGATATCGTCATGCTACTTATAAAAGAAGCGACCTTAATGTGCTGCAAACTCGCTCGTGTATTTTACTCAATTTGTTTAATTTAGCCGCTTGATTCCCTTAAATGACAACTAATGATGATTAACGGGTGGTCTTTAAATCGTTAACGAGATGCAGTAAGTGAGTGCGTTTTATCATGATGGCTGATCTGATTATATTAATATTAAGTTCTCGTCTAATACTGATACCGGGTCTGGACACCCATCCCTACATGTGACTCTTAAAATAAATCAGATGTACTGACCTCAGAGTTTTGTTCCAAAGGTGTTCAAAGTCGATTTCATAAGAAGCAGGTTACAGACTTCAAAAACTGTTTCCTTAAAATTTCATCTTAAAAAGGGAGGGTCACATTATAATCCCATAATCCTCTTATATTTGGACCAAAACAGAAGTTTGTGGCTCACCGCTGAGCACTAAAACAGGCCCGGGTCCGTTTCAGACGGCGGGCTCTGCAGCACAATGAGCCCACACACGGTTAAATGAAATTAATCATCAGTCCGGCTGCGAGCGGGTACAGTACGGCTGCTTTATGCATATTTCATTCATCTCTTCCACACCGCGGCTCGATCAATCCTTCATGAATAAGAAAACAGACCCATTTAAGATGAGGCCTCATTTGTACACGTCCACATTTCCTCCTCTCAGGGTTCGTAACGGTCCGACACCAAAGTCCAGTTCCTGTAAACCTCCAACAGAGAATTGTTGAGGTTTAAAACGTCCGACAGTTCAAAAGGAGAGGGACGTTTTTATCAGGGAATCTTTAAACGAGCTGTCCTGTTTTCAGAGGTTCAGGATGCAGAGTAAAATCAGAACCACCAACCGCCATCTTTAAATCCTGCTACAAACCTTTTTAAAGTAAGCAGAAATAATAGTGAATTTAACTCATCAAATCGCCGAAAAACACATTAACTGTAAAATCAGTGGAGGTCATGGTGGCGGTGTTGTCACCTGTTTCTTTCTGTGGCAGAGGTTTTTAGCCAATAAGCAGCTGACTCCATACCAGAGGCGGGCCTTAATGCTGCGTTTGAGTTAACCTAGAGAGTCAGATGTTGGAGCTGAAAATGACGTTACACCCGAGTTACGAGCGTTTCAGTTACCAAGTCGGAAAAAAGCAAAATCAGAGGCCTGTAACGAGATGGCTACGTCTACGAAATTATTTCAGCTCTTCCCTTGTCCGAATATAAGGCAAGCGCTCAAATAACTTTCGTAGATGTAGCCATCTTGTTTTCGGCTCCGATTTTACCTTTTTCCAACTTGGTAACTGAAACGCTTGTAACTCCGGTGTGACGTCATTTTCAGCTCTTACGTCTGACTTCAGAGGTAACTCAAACGCGGCATGAGTCTCCTCTTATATAAGCGACAGTGTGCCCGTCTGTCAGTCAGGTCAGCTGTGTCTCTGATTGGCTGATCATGTTTATGTAAGGAGGGACTTTGTTGGATTTCCAGGTTGAACTTTTATCGGCTTGTTTTCCGTGAAACTGGACTGAACCGGTCCAATGTCAGACAGCGCCCTCTGCTGCTCAGACAGACGCAGATATTTATCTCTCCTCTCACTGATAATTTCTTTCTTTTACAGACCTCTTTTGTTTTTTTTATTTTTTATTTTATTTCTTCTTCTCTTTTTTCATAGTTTTTCTCACCCAGCCCTCATGGATCTGTATTCCCATCATGCCTCTGTGATATGACACAGTACCTTTTTTAGTCGCCGCTGTCGGAGTCACTTTGCTGGATTTGCTTTTGATGACTTTAATATCTGCTGTGACCTGCTTCCTGTGTGAGACCCGCAGGTTTCCCCTCATAAATTATCCGTCCTGCTGCTGGGAAATAATAAACATCACAGCCATGGCGGCCATGGCGGCCGTGGCGGCGGCGAGGATTACTAATGGGCTGCAGCTGACGATTTGCGGCTCGGGCAATCTGTCAAAAAAAGAAGAGAGGGAAATAATAATAATAATAAAAATAATAATAAGAGCGGCACAGTCAGATGGGGAATGGGATCTGTGTGTGTGTGTGTGTGTGTGACACAACACCCGATAAATAACCCATTTCAATTTTTGAAGCAGTCAGGATGATAAACTCACAACAGGCTCCACGCTCACCTGTGTTGATGCATTACGTCCCGCTCGCATGACAAAGTGGTCGTTTAATCAAAAATCTGTCGCCGCCGTACAGAAACGGCGCTCTGATGGTGGCGGGTGACAAAAAAACTCCACATGTAGATCACATGTTTGATCAAACAGCCTCATTAACAGGTGCTGACATCTTGGCTCGTTTTCTTCTGCTGCTGCTGACCTCAGTTCTTATCTGGGTGTTGATTGGACAGTCAATGGCGGTACGATGGACCCGTGTTTGCTCGGCTGTGAGTGTGAGACCAGTGCAGAACTCTGGATGAGGGTGGAGCGCCTCACCATGGATGTCCTGCTCAAGAACCTTCTCACACTCCCAGAACTGGACTCCACCACTCGGAGACTTTGGTCCCTCTGACAGGTTTCTGGAGTTACCTGAGGTATCCCTGTGTCAGGTGGAGAACTTCCTCATTATGGTGGATTAATGGAGGGCGTAGGATCAGGGATCACAGGGTGGAGCTCGGCTATCTGCTCTGTGTTTGAGGAGGAAGCGAGAGTCGGCGGCTGCAGGTGAAACAGGTGTGACTGCTTTTCCCAAATTCCACCTCAGACCTTCATTTCCACTCCAGAACTCAGGAGCGGAAATCACAGCATGGACCATATCCAGAACGTCTCCTAAAAGGTTGTATCCGCTGATCATAACCATTCAAGCTGACGTGTCAATTTCCATTGGCTTTCTGGACGCCGGGGCATGGCGGATAAATTCAGCACAGATTAACCCGTGCTGGAAAGGAAGTCGGGCACAGACACAAAATAAAACATCCGGCTTCTTTTCAAAATAAAACATCCGGCTTCTTTTCAAAATAAAACACTCCGTGTTTCAGGAGGATCGTATTTCACACCATGCAAACGGGCGGAGACGAACAAGTGAAAGGTTTTTAGACGTCATTTCACCCCGATGACACCATGGATGAGGAGATGCTGATTCTAGAAGTCTAGAAGTAGATTTCCTCCTCTGGAAGGACACAATCTACTGCTTATATGTCTATGTGTCTGTCTTTAGAGAGACAACTTGTTATGGCGCGATTGTACACGAATCTGTGTAAGGAATTGGCAGACGGTGAAAATCGCTGCCGTTGCGGATTGGAGCGCTGAAAAATGGGAGTGAGGGGGTCATCTAAGCTGATCTGGATCATAGTAAAGTGAAGCCGATCAGGTTCCTGACTTCTTGTTGTTTCTCGTCAGTTTTTGTGTTTTTGTGCTCAGAGAGTTAAAGGGTGGACATCTGAGGAGGAGACGGAGGATCCAGGTTTCTGTTGTGATTCAACATTAGTGTGTGAATTCTCTCCCTGCGCCGTCCGATTCTGTTTTGATGTCAGAGGCAGAGCGGCGTCCTCGGTGGCCTGCTGACCTGCCTGACGCCACTCTAATTAGACTCTTTTAATTAGCCGGCTGCCTCCTCGCCACCTCCTCTCCCTCCTCTGAAGCAGAGGACAGTTTGGTGGGTGGAGTGTTTCCTGCGGCTCAGAGCAGGGACCTCCTGATTGGGCCCTCAGCTTTCACCTGTAAAGGTGGGCGGGGATTTTAGGAGGAGTGAGGGTTTGTCTGTAACAGAGCAGCTGTGATGGCGTCGCCGTCAGACAGCTTGTTGTTTTCCTCTCCCGTCCGTCCTCAGAGGAGGTTTCACCCACTGAAGAAGACCGCGGCTCTCTAATTGAAGCTCGATTTGATTCTGCTGTAAATTAAATGTGCTTATTCCTCTGTTGTTCTTCAGATTGCTCGGCATTAGCACCTCCGTTTGGTTTGACTTCTTCCTGAAAAGCAATCATTTCTCCCTAACCAGATCTCTGTAACCACATTTGCTCTGCTTAGCATCATAAAGCGGCGACTCGAAGAGGCTGATTGGCCTTTTCATGAAACCTGAACCACAGATGAAGACTCCGAAGAGGAAATGAAGGAGAACACACTCAGAGCTGGTGGGAGTTTCACTGCTGAACTGAGACAGATGAAGGAATAACCGCTGACCCACACTTCCCCGAGTCTGCAGGGAGGCTGGAGGTTCGAACACACTTCAGTTTCTGTTTTTATCCTCTATCTGAACTACAGAGGATCCCTCAGCTTCGCACCTGAACGAGACAAAACACCAACTCAGAGGAAATAAAAGGTTAACGTGCCACAAACCAACAACATGTGGAGAAAACCCAAACATGTCACGATTGTGTATTCCGTTTTGTCTGAAACCCTTAGAGCTTCTCACTGCCTGATCTCCGAAACCAACCATGGAATTGATCAACTAGTCTCTCAACACAATTGACAAGATTGGAGGTTTCGGGGGAACCTGCCTGCCCCGACATGAAATCTTTGTGGGTACATGTGATTAAAAAATGGTCTTGTGTGTCAGTGTATTAATGAATAGAAAAGTAAATAGAATGAACCAGTTCCAACAGATCTATCTGTTTTAGTTCTATACTGTAAGCAGACTGCTGATTTATCTACAAAACAAGGAGATGCTGGCAGCGGTCAAGAGCCCCCAAAGGCTGCCCGTCATGATTTTTGAGGTGGGCAAAGCCGTAGGAACTCTTTCTGGGGCGGTCTCCAGTCTTGAACATCAAGTCATGATTGGGGATCGCAAGGGAGACGTCATCTTGGAGAGGCTGTTGACTTTGCAAAAGACAGTGGATCAATATAGAGACCAGGATGGACAATCAGAGCAGCTGAAGTCTATTGGAATGTGGCCACTCGCTCTAACCCAAATATTCTAATCTACTATTCGGCTCCCTCGGTATCGGCCTTGGCCAAGGTCGATGCTGGCAGAACTCCTCCAGGAGATCTCAGCAATTCGACGCTCTGAACTTTCCTCCCCAACCCCCTCCTTCACGGACACCTGCGGATTGTTGACTTCGTCTGAAACTCAATCAAGGTCACCAAGATTGTGGCGATGGACGAAGTGACCTCCTGGGCCTACGCACACATGCATCCATGAACCTTCACACACATGCACATACGCACACACTCACCTCTCCCCCAACCAACACCTTTGACGCTTCACCCCTCAGTGCGGTGGTTGGTACCCTGACTGGCGCCCGTGGGCAGCAGCTGTGGGCTTCCCACCATCACTGATGACCCATTCCACTACCCCCCACACACACACAACCATAGCATGTCTCCGTCACTGCACTCATATTAATGAGAGCAGTCTCTTTTTTTTACCTCGTCGTCTCCCTCCCTCTTGTGTATACATTCCCCATCTGTAAATGAAATTTCGTTGTGCACAGTTGCAATGACAGTAAAGACCATACCATACCATGAAACGATGACCCAGGTTTTAGAGGACCCCCCTTTTTAAAGACCCCAAACTCTTTTAACTGAAACAATAATCCAGCAGGCACGCAGAATGAAACGAAGTTAGTTTTTAATCATGTTTTTAAACATTGAAATAAAATCTTTGTGGGTACATGTGATAAAAAAAATGGTCTTGTGTGTCAGTGTATTAATTAACCGAAAGGTGAATAGAATGAACCAGTTCAAACAAATCTATCTGTTTTAGTTCTATACTGTGAGCAGACTGCTGATATCGTTTTAACTCAAAAGCAGTTAAAAAAAAAAAAAAGAATTTTGGAAATATTCCAAATTGGAAACTTTCATGGGAATTCATGGGAATTTACTGGAATTAGCTGAAAATAGGGGTTATTTGAATAAACTGTATCATATCCAAACATAAATGTAAATATTTTTGTTTTGTCATAAACAGACATCCATGTGAAATAATACAATTAAAAAACATGACACACATCAGATGGCAAACGTGACATTTTACTGTTGAATAAAATAACAAAAAATCTTGTAAAAACACTAATGCAATGACATTTTAGATTTATTCCCGTTAATTCACATGGAGAGTTTCCAACTTTGAATATCCCAGAATTTTGCAACCCTATTCACATTTCAGTATTAATAATAATAATAAAGTCCGTCCTGATTGGTGACAAGAACTTTAAAAAATCACAGATTGGATCAGAACTGGATTTATTTCTCTCAGTCTGCAGCATTTTAGGATTTTCAGGAGAACTGAAGGTTAAATCAGAGTCCTGAATGATGGGGGGGTATCTCCTCTGACATCAGCAGCTTCCATAAGAGCCTCCTCTCTCTCCTCTCTGTCGCTGATGCATGCTGGGAGATGATACTGGGTGATGGGAGGGGGTTGTTGTGGGCATGAATCGGCCCTGGCAGGCCTTAATGCAGCTGTCAGGCGTCCTGGTCCAGCGATGTGCCCCCCCTCCCCAACTCCGTCACCGTGGAGATTATACGGCTTTTAAATGAGCTGCAGCCGTGGGGAACGGCAGCCGGGGAACGCCTGTCGCCGCGGCAACATGAGCCATGATTTGCCGTGCCATTAATCTCAGCCGGCGAGATCTCGGCCGATTTGTCCTCGCCGACAAATGAAGCTGTAAAACTTCTCCACGTCCCTGAATGTGTCGCTCTGAGTGAATCCCACTGACAGGAGCGGGATGAGGCTGACACCTGGACCTGAGAGCGGCAACATCAACCAATCAGAGGCCGGGATTCAAACAGGAAGAGAGGACTCTGATTCAGAGGCAGGACAGGAAGAAGACAGCGCTCTACAGTCCCTGAGAGACGGACGGATGTGAAAGGAGAGTGAGGACAGGATGGACCAGAAAGTGTGGAGATAATCCTGATAGTTACAGTCCGTCTGCAAACACGCCTCCTGGTATCCTAAATCTATGACTCTGGCGCCCCCTGTGGACAGAGCAGTCTTTGCGTATGTCGTCCTCGTTAGAGTGAGAAACTATCGAACAGTTTTATTCACAGACGGCTCCAGAGTCTGAGTGGCGGGTTTTGACGATCGCATTTTTACAGTGTGGAGTCTGTTTCCGTTCAGGGTCCTAGATCAACAGTCTCTTCGTTCTCAGGCCCTGTGCTTGGCCCCGGGGGCCCCTGGGAGCCTGGAGGACCGTCTCAAGTGTTCCTGCTTTTTTTCTTTCCTCCTCTGCTTCTTTTCATGGCGGCCATTAGGCAGCCGGCCAGCAGCGGCGGCGGCGTCGACAGCAGACTGTGGCGTTTTTTCAGCCAAACAGCTGCGACAGGGACCGCAGCCTGAGACAGGAGAAGTTTTAATGGGTAGGAGAAGGACCCTAACTGGTCTCCCAGGCCCCTATAATCCTCCTCTCTCCCCTGACTCTGCATCCAGCAAAGCATCTTGGGAAAGGTGGCGTGTTGCCTCTGGGAGGGGCTGTAGCTGCAGTAATGCTGACCTCTGGGAGTTTCCAGCTGAGGTTTTTTTCTGCTGCTCGTTAAACACGAACTTTAAATTAGCATCATTGTGAAGGTCTGGAAGCTTTCGACCAATCAGAATCAAGCTCCTAACACGTTTGGTAATCATGGAGACGGACGGTTTCTGGAGAAGACCATAGAGATGAAAACGTCTCGGGGAGGATGAGGCAAAACAAAGAGGTGAGCGGAGTGATCAAAGGAGCATGAAGAGGTCGGAGATGTTCAGAGTTTACGGCGTTTTGACGAGAGAACAGAAGACGAAGCCTGAGGGACGCAGAGCTGCTGGAAATCTAACGTCTCTCTGTTTTTCTCTTTTCCTCAGGCTGAAGCTGGATTTTTTTTACACACCTGAAGGTTTCTGCAGAAAGTGGAGGGATGGACTCGACTCAGAAAGAAAGAAAGAAATATTTGTAATCCTGGAGATCTCCAGCTTCAGTGTCGATGGACCCCGCTCTCCAAAGATCTTCAACACTTATAGATTTTCACTCAGAAACTCTTCCTCTGACTCTTTTCTGTTTAATATTTATTACCCCAACAAAATAAAATAAACACAGCGACATGAAGGGGTTGTTCCATGTTTTCTATGTCTGTACAGTCTATGGTCTGAGGCCTTTATATGAAGCAGGCTTATATTAGAGACCAGGCCCCACAAACAGGACCTGAAGGACGGGGGTCACAGGATGGGAAACCTTTCAAACAGAAGAGAGTCTTTCTGTTTTATCAAAGGTATTCGAGGTCAAAAGAGGGAGGAGTCTGGACTGGCGCTGAATAAACAGAATCATCCTGCCACAGAAACAAAGAAAGTCAACTGAAGGTGTTGACGTCCTGAGGACCAGCTGAGGGAGATCCCGGGTTCTCCCAGTGAAGCCTACAGCCTGGATCTGGATCTCTTAATGTTTCATTTTTACAGATTAGTCTATATAAAACAGACCGAATCTGTGGGGGCTGTTTTAGTCGGAGACTTTAGACTGAAGTTCCTCTTTGTCTGCAGAGCCCTGATGAAAATGTTCATGGAGGATGGAAACGGGGGACCACAGTAGGGATGTCAAGATTCACCGATTCATATCGGTGGAAACGTTTGCGATGCGACTGCACCCGTAGATTCATGGAGCGTTGGATATTATTTATGGGTGAATTTTCGGTGCGTCTCTTCCAGCCTGTCTGCAGCGGTAAATATTGTTAAATCGATTGTTTCGTGTTCTAGTATCTATTACCTGTCCTCTTTTCTGAGGTAACCTGAATGCACCGCCGCGTCCTCGGGTGCTGACGCAAGCAGGTGTTGAACACAACAAGTATGGAGGCAAACGAGAACGACGGTATCAGGGACGAGATATTTAATGCACCAAAAAAGACACACAAATCAAACGTGTGGCAATAATTCTGTTTTTTTAAGCGAGGAGGTCAACTTGACAAGACGCACGCAATTTGCAAACAATGCCGTGCGTCTATCAAGAACGTCAGCAGCACAACGAACCTGGAGACGCACATGAAAGGACGGTATGCCGTGGAAACCTCTGCGGCTGCTCCCCTCTCCTCTGACAGTAGGATGTGTTTCTAGTCATATTATTTGCACTCTGCACATTGATAATACTGCGCTTTCTGAAACTGTTCAGCTGTGAAGTTTTATACATTTTGTATAATCATAGAGACAGAGAACAAAATTAAGAGTTTTTATTATAAATAAAATTGGATGCTCTGTCTGTACGCTGAATCATAAACCAAACGATTTCTTGGTTTGCTCCATAAAAAAACCTCCAAATATTAAAAACATCCCTCAGATTAATACAGAGAGTAAAGCACAATTGTGCTTTTAAGGTAAGAAACACGATGTGGGCAAATACTCTCTCCTACCGCAACTAACTGTATCGAATGACCACTTAATTTAAAACCAAATCTTTTTAAAATGAAGTCTTTTCGTTATCAAATAATTTTTTAATCGCCTCGTATCGACGGGAGCCTCAGTGTATCGTTAATGTTGCGAATCGATGGCAGCGTATCGAGATGTGTACCGAATCGACCTCAGTGGTGGAGACATACATCCCTAAACCACAGAGTCCTCATAAACCCAGCAACAGTCTGGAAAACCTTTGGACTTAACAGCACTGATAGAGACTCTGCACATGCTCAGTGCGGGTCTGTGTGCAGGAACATTTAAACCTGACATCTTTATAATTTTATATAATTTTATCATCATTTTTCTGGAAACCTGCTCAAAGTTTGTGTTTCTCCAGAGTCTGCAGCAGTGAAACAGTCTGCTTATCGGAGCCTCGTGTTTGTTACTGTGTGTGTTTTTAAAATCCCCCCTCAGCTCCTCTCAGCGGCGTCTTCATGGCGCTCAGCCTCGTCTCAGAGATGGAGTTAATTAAGGCGAAAGTCGTGGAGGAAAGACGGCAAAGCCGCGGCTCTGGGCTGCTTATCTGAGAGGCGTGAGCAGGTATTTACTCCAGCTGGGAGAGACGCCAGCCTAGAAGCTACCACGCTAACGCCGGATTAGCGGCGGGGCTCTGTCAGCCTGGTTTCACCGCGGGCCACTTCAGGAGCCGGTCTGTCGGGTGTGTTAATGCTCAGAGGGAGGAGGAGGTGTACCGCAGGTGAACGTGTGATCAAACAGAGGTCCTGTGGTTTCTGCAGATCACACACCTGAAGCTGGTTTTGCATACTCAGGATTTAAGTGTCCTCCTGCTCCTGGATTAGATTCAGAAAAAAACGTCATAATATTTCACTCTAAATACGTCAATATGAGTCACTCAGATTAATAAAGAGAGTGATTTATAGTTTGGTAATGAAAAAAACACGGGTATGACTGCGTTTAGTAAACTAAAACAGGCAGGGAATATATGTGCACGGGCGAATGTTAAAGCAGCTCCTTAAAACTCTGCTTTAGTTTCTCTGAAACACACGGAGACAACGGACCGAATCCTCCTCTCTCTGCTAAAAACAATCTATTTATTCAGCTTTAAGATCTCTTCAGTAAACTGACAATGAAGAAATGAAGAAAACTGCTCTGGTTATATAATTATACATATTTATATTGTAGTCTTGGAACTCACCTGTTAAAAAACTCAGTTTTTGGTGAATCTGTGCTCTGAGACTCTTGCAGGTTTTTTCTCTCTGAAGCTGTGATCAGTTCTAATTTAGCCGACGGACAGATTTCACGAAACGCAGTCTTTTTCAGTCAGGTGTCACCTTTTTAAAGAGCCTTCAGTCACCGTCGCTGACCGGAGGGATAATGTGAAAGAAGAGATGAGAAGAATATCCTCAATGAAGAGGGGACCAAGAGTGTCTGTGATTTTATCAGCAGGAATGTCGTGACAAAAACGCCAACGTGGTCAACGAGGGGAGTCGGGTTCGAATGTTTGTCTGACTGGGGCGTGTTCCTCACCTGTAAGTTACTGATCAGTGGGTTGTAGCTTTAAAATGAACAACAGAGAAAAGGAAGAGTTGGGGGTTCGTAGGGGAGTCGACTTTGACGAGCAGCACGAAGATTCGGAGAAACTATCTGACAAAGAGAGGAGAGGAGGACTACTTAAAACCCCTGTCCTATTTTTTTTCTCTTTCTCAGACGCTCTGTCACCTGCTCAGAGAGAGGCATTACTGAGGATTGACAATAAAAGAGAGAAGCGCTCATTTAATCCAGCTCCGAACCCTCGATTTCTAACTGTCCAGAAGTCGCACAAAGGATGACGTTAAAAACCTTTCCAAATATTTGCACCATGACAAGAAAAAGAATTGGTTTCATGTTGAGCAGAGCTTTCAAAAAAGGTCTGAAAACGACATTTGATTATTTCTCTAGAAAAAACAGCAACATTCGAATCATTAAAGATCTATTTTTATTTTGATAATCATGAAGTTTTCCTCTAATTGACCTCTTAGTAAATGAAATGCAGAAAAACGTACCCTCTAGGATCCATTTCCACAATTGAACATAGAGATAAATGACCCCTTGATGCACTTTGAGGGCATTAGACATTAAAAATATGCACTTGTAATTCCCTCCAAGTTCATAAAATATGAGAAACTGCCGTCTGGATGCTCCTCTGTTAAAGGAAGTATGACAAAAGTGCCTGTCTCTAGTATACAACATTAAAAAATCCAATTTACACGCCTTTAAATTACAGGAAATGTAAAAGAGTTCTTTCCAGATGTCCTGTTAGCAAAAATGGTCCTCTAGTTTATGAAACTGTGTATTAGATTCAGTGAAAATGTCCTACAGATGTCAAATATTCACATATCTTACCTCCTCCTCTCTCTGTGCTCACCTGTTGTGGATTCAGATGTCGTCGTCCTCCTCCTGCAGGTGTTCGAGTCACCTTTTTACAGTCTCATCTTTTCTAAAAGTAGAGAAGAAAAAAGAAAAATCAAACTTCAAAATTCTCCAACAGTGAACCTTTTTTTTTGTTCATTAAACAGAATTATTCCCACTTTGTGTCACAGTTGGTGTTTTCGGACCTGATGACTCCTCAGTTAAGTCCACGTGTTTCTCTTAAATCAGGTTTTCAGTATCATTTCAGACCCTGTTCAGGCTGGACTCTGCCGGTCTGAGGTCTTTTTCTTCTTCTGCAGCCTCATGCAGATATAAATTACATCCATTGAATTATAAAAAAATCCATGTTTCTTAGCAGACAGACTTTCTCTCCCACACAATTAATATGACGACTTTGAAATAGTAACCACCGTCTGACTTTCTTCCTTTTTAATTCTTTTTTTTTTTTTTTTTTTAACAAGTCCGCGGCTGATGTCACGAGTCCATTTCGGTCCGGTTTGCTTCCATCCGTTCGCGGCAGAAAAACGAGCGTGGAGAGTGAATTATGAGTCGTGTAATCACTGCGAGGGAGGAAGGAGGCCGCAGAGTTCACAGCTTCTTAATTAGTTTGCAGTATATGTGTAATTATTCCTGCATTTTTAAATTCACTTAAGGCACAGTTCTCTTCATTTTTAAGGATCTGGTTCAAGGATGTCCTGCAGTTACCAATCAATCCCACATTAGGCCTGGAAAGCTTCGTGTAATTACAGCCTTTTGTTTTTTCTCTGCTGCTGCTGAGGACGTATGGATCTAAGACCAGACACCATTTTTAGATTCCTGCTCTTCTTTCCTCTCCTCATCACTTTAATGAAGGCTGCGGGTGGCTGGACAGGCTCTTTGGGATGCTTTTGTATGAAAGTTTCATGCCTTTGGTTCGGGTGTTGGTCCTGAGGAGACCTGTCCTCTTTCATGGGGCGTTCACACCAAATGTGAGTAAAATTATCGCGTGAATGAATTACATGTTAAGTCAACGCAAAGACGCGATTAGACGCTTGTACTACTCTGGCGGTGCGAATGACACGAATTGAACGCATGTGAATTCGCAAGAGTTGAAAATATCTCAATTTGAGCAGATATTCGTGTTGCAATAACCAATCAGCATGAAGATTCCTGGGAGACGTATGAAAACAGACCTAGTGTGAAAATATAAACACAAATCCTTTCACTCACAGATGGACAGACGCTCTGCAGCTGGGGTAGAGCGCCTGTAATCGGTACCCTGTAGGGATATCCTGGCACTGCCCTCACCAACAGGTCGTCAAATTGGGTTCAGGTGACCCGTGAATACCACTGGAAACAGACATCATCTGGGCGCAGCTATTGGAGGAGACCCAGACACGGTGGCGCCTACATCTCTGACGGTTGTGGGCCTTCATTAACAAAAACAGAGCAGCATCCACTGAACGCGGTTCACTCCTACCATGCTTGATGGAGACTCTCCCCCTCTCTCGTATCCACGGCTTTTTTAATAAAAACAGGAATAAACTGCTCTGTCTTGTTGGGTTTTCAGATGTATTTTTTAAATGAATGAAAAGTTGATTATTCGTCAATTAACGATAATGAAAGTTCTTACGTTTAACAAAGTTAGACTAAAATCAAGATCATCAAACAAAAATAATCTTCCTCCTCCTCTTTTCTGATCATTTATCCTCAGTTATCTTGTCCTCCTTTTCATCATCCTTCCTTTTCTTCTTTTCTGAATCTTCCCTTTCTTTCTCTCCCTCCTCCTTGTCTTCTTTCCTTCCTTTCTTTTCCTCATCGCCTCCTTTTCTCCCTCTGATTTCCTACTTCTGTTCCTACGAGCTCCTGCCTCCCCTCGTACCCCTCCTCCTCCTCCTCTTCTTCTTCCTCCTCTCTGTGTTTTTCTGGAGCTGAGAGTTCATTAAGATCCGGCTCAGAGGGATGAGCGGCTGTTTGGACCCTCAAGCTCCTTACACAAACACCAACTCTTATTATCCAGATACATGAAGCCCCATCCATCTGTGTGTGTGTGTGTGTGTGTGTGTGTGTGTGTGCTGTAAATGTAATAAAACTGGAAGACTTCTGCAGCAGATCTCATATTGAGCTCATATTCAGACTCTTGTTTAAGCTCAGTGATCTCCTGGTTCCTGACGTATAGATTTATCGTCTTCTTATGGACTGTTGGCCTTCCAGCTATAACGGGAGGTGGACTGTGTTCCTCCTGCTTTTGCTCTCCATACTGACTGTTTCTCCTGCTGATCCCTGATTGGCCTGTCATACTAAGAGTCATAGAAATCTCGTCTCAAACGTTATAATGATAAACATAAAAGTACAGATCACTGATTTTAACACAGATCTTGATCTTGTGTGATGCTGTATGTGTAGCTGCACTGTTAATTCCACCCCCACCACCACCACCTACGCATGGAGCTGCAGACTGACAGAAGGTGAGTCTGATATTCTGCAGCAGATGAGAAAAGGCGACGGCCGGCTGCGAGATGTGTTTTATCCAATCCTGCCATCACCTCCAACAACAAATAATACCTGCGCCCCGGCCACGGCAGCAAACAGCAAATCTCATTAAGTCAGAGATGGGAGCGGCAGTGATTGTTTTTTACGTTGTACCCCTCCTCACACACATTTCGGCTCATTTTTCTCCTCGCCAATGTGAGAGCGTGAAAATAAAAGGCGGTCGAACCTCCTCTTCCTCCTCCTCCTCGTCCTGTGTCGCCTCTGGCTCTGCGGCGGGACGTTCTCATCAAATCATTACTTTTATTAACGGTCAGATGGCTTTTTAATAGAATCGCTTTATTATGTCGTTTCTCATTTTCGCCCTCACGGTGAAATTTCATCCCCCTGTTTGGTGTTGATGTTGTTCTTTTCTCTGTTAATATTTGCTGCCGTTTATGGCTGCAGGGTGTTGATGCCACCGAGAGAAATTTTTACATTTTGGAGGGCGCAGGAAGAGGAAGAGGAGGTGGAGGGGGGAGGACAGGTTATTGGTTTCTGTTTGTTTCTGATAATTTGTTTTCAGAGAGCATCCAGCACTCTCTTTTCTCGACCAACAGGAGAGCTCACTTTTTCCTGAATTTACCCTCAAACTTGTAACTAGTTAAAGACATTTATCATTTTTGAGTTTCCATGCACACATATGGTACAAAAACCTGGGAAACAAACATTCATGAAACTCAAGCTGCAGGTAAACTGAGATTATCCCGTTTGCAGGAGGTTAAGATGCAATAAAAGACTTAAATGAAGTCACAGTTTGGCTGTGCTGCACCATAATGTAAATCAGGACAGCACATCAACGTTCACAGACATGAAACTGAACCCGTTTACTACACCTGTTTAAATGAGACACACAAAAAAAACGCAGTTTGAGATGAATAAAGACCACACACAGAGAGGTTACCTGCACCTCCAACTGTCTCTGTGACTCCACCCTTTCTATGCTACTTGAATAAAACTTTTGATGCACCACATGCATCTTAAGCTAAACATACCGATATGATCGTAGGCCCGCTGTAACAACGTCTGCTGAATGTGATATAACCACAGTACCCATTAGCGCCACTAGATGGAGAATCCCCCCTGTGTCGTTGTTATGACTCCATGTTTTTCTACCATCGCCGCCAGGGATGTCACGATATGAAATTTTCAGAACCATACGATAAAATTCGATATTGCAATTTATATCTCGATATCACAATACGATATTACTCACAGAAATCTCACACCCTTCTAATAAAATGCATTAATGCTGACTGAAGAAAAAAAGAAAACACATTATCAAGTATTTTCTTAATATTTCTTTTTAGTTCAGGTTTAACCAGGAGTAACCGGTTACGTCTGACTCTGCATTGTGTGTGTGTTTGGAGGTAAGACTACGCGTCGATTTTTCTTGAGGCGGTCTCCATCTATTTTTACGGCTCCTGACGAAACAGTGTAAAACACAAAAATCCTCCGGTCACTGACCTCAACAAACATGCCCCTCTCACAGAGATCAGTAATAAAAGGGCACAACAATACATTAAATAGTTCAAACAGAACACAACATACCTGACGAAACCGTGTAAAACTCAGAAATCTTTAGGTCAGTGACTTCAACAAACATGCCCCTACACAAATTAAATTACACAAACACTTGTTTCAGTATAAAGTAAACGTCTCATAATAAATTCAAGCTAGCCAGTGAACCTAAAAATGCGATTAGCAGAGGCTAAAACAGAAATTTCCCTGTAGCCTAATACAAAGCCACTTACCTCTTCCACTGAGATCGGTAATAAAAGGGAAGAGAAATGGCGCAAAAACGCCACTTATAGAGGCCAGTGTTACCCCCCAATGTGTCCGTAGGGATACAAACTTAAACCAAGGTTGACTGACCCTGTTACACAGCTAAAATCTTACACTAGGATTTTTAAAACTCACTGTATTCACTATTATTTTAAATTTCTATGTTTTTGCAGCCATTCCTCTCCCTCTCTCATACTCTCACATACACAGCAACACAACATCAAGTGCGGTGGGAAATTATACATTCAGCAAAGAGAAAAGGGAAATAAAGTGGACCATAGCCGGCCTATATTTCAATAAACTATCTAAATAGCTTCTTACATACATGTTTTTCTCTTCAATATTTTTTATTTGATAAAATACTTTGCATTAGTGATTTAGAAATATAAAAAGGTCGTATAAATTACCGCGCGTTGACATCATAATTTACGACCGGTGCCTGAACACATCTTGAGCGCTCCCGGTGTTGCATATAGCCGGCTAACTATATTTACACATTTGCTCTGTTTCGTCTCGTGTATAATCATTTCCCACTCGGTAATTTGAGGCTCTGGTACGCTACTCCACATTTACCATAAAACTTATTTTTACTCACGGCGCGAAGAAGGACACAGAGGTGGAGCAGAGAGGAGTGGTTCCCACCATGGCGGACTCTTGGAGCATATTTTTCGCCATTTGCACGTCAAAGATGTTCATTAACTTTACCTTGGATTTAGCCATTTTGGCGTAATCTTCCGTTCTCCCGAAGGTGATATACCATGTTCGACGTGTAGACCACGGGTATCTGTAAGAAAGGCGAAATGGCTCGAGGTGGAGTCACCAGCGTCCCTACACGGCGGCCATTTTGTAACAATACACGATTCTGGTACAGTCGGTGATAGCTGTCAGAAGGTGAGTAATCTACATGATCAAAAAACTGTTAACTCGCTGAACTATTGACAGATTTACAGACGGTTTTGTTTAATACAAACCGTAATAACGTGGCTGTGATTCGGGATGCTCGGACATGTTGAAATGGCAGCTTTTCTCTGAGGAAAGAAAAAGGCATAATGGTGCTGCACAGTCATTTCACCGATATTTTCGCGCGCAAGGGCTAACTGTGAGCCGCTTTGTGCGAGTTGTCAAAGCTGAGACTGCAATCGAGATTTTAATTTCTCATATGACAGCCTATTTTTTTGGGTAAGTGATAGTGTTTGTGGATGTGTCTGTGTCAATCAGCTATCTAACCTGGCCAACAGGCTCCCTGTGAGTGAGACCAAGTAGGGGAGAGTGGGGTAAGATGAGACATTTTTCATGTTTTGGGTCACTACATCAAATCAGTCCTAGTTTTGTCTCTAACTAGTGTATCTGCATATATTTCAAGATGTTGTGCATCCATGCAACCCAACAGAATGAGTGTAAACATAAATGTCTTGATGATATAGCATGCCAAAAAAGTGGTCTCCTATGGTCAACTTACCCAGTGTATGTATGGGGTAGGTTGACCATTGGAGCGGGGTAAGTTGAGCTGAACCCTCCCCAGCCCTCCCTCACTGTCTCTGTCCCGAAATAACAGCTACTTTTTCACATTCATGTGTATTTTTATCTACACTATTCAATTGGTACAGTAATTCTTTTTATCATGTCTTTAAGTGTTTCAGAACATTCACAGCTGTATTTTTGAAAAGAAAAAGTCAAACGTTTCAACAATCTGAACGTAAACTCTGATCCTCTCATCAGACTCCTTAACTTTCTCAGTTACCCCTGAACTACTATGATGACTTTATTAGTCCTCGAAGCTAAAATGGTGGACTTTTAGGTTTTTGACCTCATGTTGTAGCTCATAGATACCACAATTGATCTGAATTGATGTGTGATATGTGTTGTTATAATTATCCCTATAATAGAAATATTACAAATATAACATACGTGGAATGATGAAATGTTTTACAAATGATTTAATATAACTACCTTGTGTGTGTAGGCCTATAGCTTTTGCGCTACCTATCTGTTTAATGTTTATTTATGAAAGTCCATGGTTAAAAGTAGTGATGTGTCCTTCAGTGCCGAGGCTTCGAAGCGTGTGTCGAGTAATGAAGGGGGCGTTTCCGCGAAGCGCGTATCGAGGCTTGCTTCATGTAGGGGTGGAGCCAAAAATGATGACGTCCGAAGCCTCGCTACCCGGCTATACCACGTGACTGGTTCAAGAAACGGTTCACGGGTTTGGCGGATGATTTAACAGGCAGCGAAACGCAATGGAGTCCTGCCCCACTCACAATCCATAGACTCGAGACTTGTTGAAAAGTTGTTTTTAAATAAAAATAAATAAATATAAATGAATTGTTTATGTTTTATTTGTTGTCCCCGTAACAAAAGTACGAACAACAAACTAAGTAACACATTCACATCACAACCCTCTCGATAATTTATGTCCTCTTCCCCTTTTTGACACTGCAACTGTGTCTTAAAGACAAACACCATATTAATAACTTTATCATTTCTGTATTGTATCACAAACACACGGCATCACATCCATTCATTCATTGGATTCAAAGCTTCGCGCACCAAAGCCTCGGGGTGTCTTTCGTTTATCACTCTGTCTGTTTTACATTTATTGTCCACTTGATGGCGCAACAGAGCAAATGAAGCACGACCATGAAGCTTCGGCCCAGGAGGCGAGTAATTGGATGGAAAGCTTCGATGCTTCATGAGGCTTCATCTCGCCATCACTAGTTAAAAGTATTATTGAGTATGCAGGAGCATAACTAAAACTCTGAGAATAACAAACCAAACTGTTTGAAAATCGGTTTAAAATCAATCAATCCATTTAAATGCTACATGCACCGTAGACTTTGATGTTTTGAGTGGGCGAGCTGCCTCCGGCAAGATGGCCACCATGTGAGGACTTAGGTCTCCATTGGCTAACAGCGTGCGTGAGCCACCATGTTGGATTTGGAGGTAAGAAAACTTTCAGTGATACCAAAGTCAACTTTGTGCCTTTACATAAAACTCACAGGCATGTTCTGTGTTATTATAAAGTATAATTTGCCAAACTGTCTGTAGCCTAATCGAAGACCAGCTAGCTGACCATAAACCAGCTAGGCTAGTGAGCGTTAGCTCTTTCTACAGACGTTAAAGTTAGCCACCACAGCTAGCTTACCGTAAACCAATTGAGCTAGTGAGTGTTAGCTCTTTCTGCAGACGTTAGAGTTAGCCACAGCAGCAGGCTTACCGTAAACCAGCTGAACTAGTGAGTGTTAGCTCTTTCTACAGAGGTTAAAGTTAGCCACAACAGCTAGCTTACAGTAAACCAATTGAGCTAGTGAGTGTTAGCTCTTTCTACAGACGTTAAAGTTAGCCGCAACAGCTAGCTTACCATAAAACAATTGAGCTAGTGAGTGTTAGCTCTTTCTACAGATGTTAGCAGTAGCCATAGCAGCTATCTTTCCTGCATACAGGCTTACAAAAGCAGACTTTGGTAAATTTACAAATGTAACTCTCTCTGGTGTTTTGTTCTGGAAGATTGCCCTGACTGTGAGGATGAATACCCACCAGGTCCAGCTACAGCAAGGCGAGGTAGAGGAGGTCCAAAGGGCAGACCACCATAAGCCAGCAGAGGCTTGCAGAAGCAGAAATGTGGGGGGAGAGGTCAACGAAGAGACCAGGGTCTCTGTGCTTTGGTACTGGAGGATGTAGAGAGCATTAAGGCTCAGAGATTGGCAGACTATCTGGTATGAATGATGATTGTGATAATTTCACAGAATCAAAACGAGGTAAGAGAGAAATTGAAGTGACGACTGACTCAGTTTAATGCAGAGTGGAGAGTGCTGTGTGAGAGAAGAGGGAGGGGAAATACAGTTCTTCTACAATTCAGGAAAAGAAGTGGCTCTGTGAACTTTAGACTCTCAAACTCCAATGAGCAGAGGTAAGTAAAGCTGCAATGGTCCTGAAGATCAACTGAACCAACATTTATTCACCTCATACAAACCTCATTGATCACAGAAAGAGCTCAAACTTGTTTCTTTGTGTGTCTCATGAGGCAGTTTTGTATTTTGTTTCATGTTTTTGGGTGTCATGTAATATTTCTGAACACTGTAAAATATTTTTGCAGTTTCTCATGTTGTTCACTGTCTTTCAGAGGACAATTTTTAACCTCCATTTGACTGGAATGGCATCTAGGTAGTGTTTGTCCTGTTTTATCCTCTAAGGGAGATGCGTTTAGTACTTAGGAGTTTGTACTCAGTCTGTTTTAAGATGCTGTCAAGTTGTGATCTGCTAAAGAAGATATTAAACTTAAAGGCAGTCAGCACTCACTGTATTAATAAACACACTATACTGTACCCCCTCTATCTCTCTCTTTCGTTCTCTCTCTCTCTCTCTGTCATGATTTTTTTCTCTAATTTACAGAAAGCCTGATCCAGCTATAGGACTCACATCTGGGACCTGTAACACCTGTGACTGAACACATCATGGAAATCCTGCAGCCCACATAGATCCATGACCCAGACGGACCGGTAACATCATCCAGCAGAAACAGACACAATAAAGAAAAACAGGCGAGGTGATTTCAGTGACTCAGTTTGATGATTTTTATGATTTTTTTACCCACAATCAGAGACTTGACCACAATCTGAGCTGAGTCAGAAACATCAAAACAGTCGGACTAATAAATGTGATTATTATTGTTAGAGTGATGAAAAGCTCATAACAACATGTAGATCTGTCCAAAGTCTGATTCTAGATGTCTTTACAAACACACTGATCCAACAGAAGCAGACAGAAATATCCATCGATCACATGAACACAAATATTCAGCAGAGTTTTTGGTGAGACTGATCCACAAACATTTACAAACCAGAACATTTCAAGAGTTCAAGGATCTCAGTCCATGATTTTGGTCTGATGGACTCAAAATTCTCTTTAGTTCACTTCTATAAACTCAGCAGAGTCTCCATAAGACCTGGGTATCAGTCCGGCATGTAGAGGTTCAGTGAATGTGGTCTGGACTCTGTGGAGGAGAGTCATGGTTTTAGAGACGCTGTAGAAGGACAGAATACCTGCTCTGTGATCCAGGTACACTCCTACTCTGGAGGACCGATGACCGAAAATAGCAGTGTGTACTCTGTTGTGCGCAAATTGATATCTGTCTTTATCACAAAATAACATCCAAGATTTGTCATTTTCTCCAAATGAACAATCCTTTGAGTCTCCTGCCCTGCTGATAGTCTTGTATGCGACTGCTACATCAACCCCGTCCCCTCTCCAGTCCACCTCCCAGTAACAACGTCCAGTCAGACTCTCTCTACTCAGGACCTGATAATAACAATCAGTGAATCTGTCTGGGTGATCAGGATACAGCTGTTCTTCTGTAAATGTTGCTCTTCTGTTACCACCAGATAATAACAGATATCTGTTTACTGTGTTTGGATCCAGTGTGATTTTTTGGTAATATCTTAAGAAACCAGCTCTGGTCAGGGGTTCTGGTTCTGGTGGTTCTGACAGTAAAACATCCACTTCAGTCACTGCCTGTGAGATGTTTGTCCAAGTCTCTGTCAGAAGATCCTGGAGTTTATCACTGATCTCGGACACAGCTGCTGTCACCTCCTCAAAGTATCTCTGAGGACGGATGTTGATCCTGGATGAGTCTGCAGGTTGACCCGGTTCTGACAGTGAGGGGTAGCTGTGCAGAAACTGGTTGTGGTCCTCTGTGAGTGAGAGCTTCTGCAGATCAGCGTCTTTCCTCTTCAGCTCAGTGATCTCCTGCTCCAGTTTCTCCTGAATCTCTTTGACTCGACTCACTTCACGTTCCTGCTGGGATCTGACCTGCTGCTTTACATCATAGCGGCATTTCTGCATGAGACTGATCAGCTGGCTGAAGATCTC